AGTCAATCAGTGGAGGATCCAACGACCTCATACGGGATCTAAGAGTGATTAACTGCCAGAGGTGTGTGAAGTCTTGTTTTCTGAACCTTTTTTTAAAGCCCTGTGCAGTGTATACTTTGTATCCTAAATTCCGTAAATCCGTTTACTTTTCTCCATGTCTTCCATTCTACCTTGAGGTTGGGAGCTTGAGGGGATTAGCATGGAGACATACCCCGACTCTGAAACCCACCTGGGCCTTGGAGGTAGGCAGGCGTCGAAGAGCAGAACGCATGGGTGTGTTCCATTTTGGGTAAGCATCCCGAGTACCACGAACATCTGGGTGGTGGCCAAGTGACAAGGCTTCTTCTCTGGCTTTTGGGACCCCCCGGGCCTCCCTGGAACCTGGGCTTCTGAGCTCCCTCCAGTCCTCTGGCCTCGCTGCTCTGCTTCATCCTTTGCATGTGGTTCTGCCAGCCTCGCCCGTTCACGTTCACAGGCTCGTTCGCTCAGCCGCAGCCCCTGCTCACTTCCTGGGTTCATACCACCCTCCCCACTCCTGTACCTGCTCCCGCATTTCAGCCAGGTGATATTTCTAAAGCAAAGGCAGCCCCCGCTGTGTTCCTTCTTAACACCCTTCAGTGGTTCCGCATTCCTTCGAGATAAGGTTCCAGATACAGGGCTGAGAGCTAGAGCCTGCACCCCCAGCCTCAGGACCTCGCCGCCGTGTCACATGCCCCTCGCTGCCACACACCCTGCCCCTGCTCTCTCCTCTTCACTCTTCAGGGTTTGGCTTAGGGTGCGTGTCCTCCAGGAAGCCCCCGTGACACTGGCATTGGGTTAAGTTCTCCTCCGAGCAGCCCCCAGCACGTTTTCAGCCCACTGGAACATTTGTCACTGGTCCATAGTCACCGATTGCTCTGTCTGCAGCCCCTGGGACAGGGGACCCAAACCACGTCTTGAAAGTCCATCCGCAGCTGTCTAGTGTGGCCCCAGGTGGTGGAGTGATGGCCGGTAAGCTGCAGCCCCCTGCAACTAAGTTCAGAGAGGGAAAGTCAGTGTTTGGAAACTCGAACACTCTGGCACGGCTCTGACCCCAAACGTGTGAGTTTCTGTTTTACAAAAGTGCCCGTCGTGATGAATTTGTCCTGCTCCACGGAAGGCTGGCCTGAGGCCCCCGAGCCCCGGAGCTGCCGCCTGGACAGTCAGGAACTGGAGGGCGGGGCTGGGCCTCCCAGAGAATATTGCAGGGAAATGAATTTGTGTTTGTGTGTCACCACGGTGACCGTTGCTCTTTTGTGTTTTTTGTTCACTGAATGTCTCGGATGCTTTCTCCAGTGACTTCACCATGGTCATTTGAGTGATTGGCACCTGTTATGCTGTATGTTGGCTGTTGCGTGTTCTTTGCACGTGTCAGGGTTTGAGGATGAATTGTGTGGTCAGGCATCTTAGGTGAGCATCAGGGTCATTCTGCCAAGAGTAGTTTTGTGCCCACGAAGTTGGCTATGCGTAGGTTCTGTACCAGCTTCAGTGTTGCCCAGACATTCGTTGTTCAGTTAGCCAGATTCCCAGAAGTGAGCCTGATGGTTATCACTTCCTGTGTCACGAGAGCTCTGCTTTCCTCGTATGAGTCACACGAGAATCCTAAGCCGTGCAGGTGCGTTAGAGGTAGCCATTGCCCAGATTTGGAATTGTATTGAATTACATGTTTACCTCCTCCCTAAATTCTGATCTAAGGTGGAGATTGACCACAGTCGATCTGTCTTCAAGGTTGGCTGGCTTGTGTCCTCATAAGGAATTTATTCTATAACTTGGTTCATTTGTGTGATTTGTTTGCCAACCTAAGCCCAGGTCCCTCAAATCAGGGCTGGTTAGTTTTTAGTCTGTTGGTGCCATTATCCTCATGGACAGGACAGACGTGCTTGTCTGGACGTGAGGGCCAGAGGGGAGGGTGGGCCATGATGGGAGCCCTTTCCTGGGGGGAGGGAGGCCCACAAGAGTAGGGGGGTCTAATGGGACGTTATTTCAGAGGCCTGCCTATGTGGTGGGGAGGCCACCCCAGGTAGCAAGGACTATGTGCTCACATCGGTGGTCTCTTCCAGGATCTTTGCCCCAGTCCCAAGCAGAGCTAGACTGCAGCAGGGTGGGGGCTGGAGGGGCAGGCTGGGAAAGGGGTTGGTGTGCAGGTGCTCAGACTCCCCCGACGTCGCAGAGGCACTCGCACTGTAAGAGCAGGAGGCTCTCAGACCTCACCTCCTTGTCTTAGTTATCTGTTGCCACCTAACAAATAGCCACAAACTTAGCAGCTTAACACAACACACGTCTGTCATCTCAGCTTCTGTGGGTCAGGAGTCTGGGCACAGCTTAAACTGGTCCTCTGCTCAGGCTGCAGTCAAGTGTCATCCAGGCTTCATCCTTTCTGGAGCTCAGGGTCCTCTTCCAAGCTCACATGGTTGTGGGCAGAATTCAGCTCCTTGCTGTTGTAGGACTGAGGTCCCGTTTTCCTGCTAGCTGTCAGCTAAGTCCACTCTGAGCTTAGAGGCCACCCACATTCCTTGTCACGTGGCCCATCACAGGCCCTCTCACACATGGCTGCTTGCTTTTTCAAGGCCAGCTGGAGTCTCTCTGACTTCAAGATTCTCTTTGACAGGGCTTACCTGATTAGGTCAGGCCCACCCAGAATAATCTATTTTTTGATTAATTCTAAGTCAGCTGATGAGGGACCTTAATTATTTGTGCATTTCTCTTTGCCATATAATGTAACCCAGGCATGGAAGTGACATCCATCACACTCACAATTCTGCCTACACATGAGGGGAGAGGGTTATGGGAAGCCTGTTCAACAGGGGTGGGACCTTGGGGACCACTGTAGAATTCTGCCTGCCACACTCTTCCCCCCTCTGCCCCCTCTGGAAGCCCCTTCCTTCTTCCAGCCCCTTTCCTCCTCCTTACATTCTCCTCCTCTCCTCCCCTTCTTCCTCCTCTGTACTCTCCCATCTCTTTTCCCAACCCGTCTCCCTGTGCCCCCCGACCCGAGCTGATGGGCTGCAGCTGCCTGGTCTATACTGGCTTGGACACAGAGCCAACAGGCATGGAGCCCATTCCGCTCCAGGAAGGGCCGGGAGTCGGGCTGCACTCAGTGGGAATGCAGTCCTCTTGCTGGCCCATCGGGGCTGTAGGAACTCAGTGTGGGTGGGTGTCAGTCTAAGAACCTTTTCTCCCCTTCCGCCCCTCCCCTCCAGCTTTGCCTGATCTTTTTATAGACCCTGAGGGGCCCTTCACACAATGTAACATGGATGAGAACATTGAAATTGGCAACGAGGTATCAGAGTCCTGATGCAGTTGTGATTTTTGGCACTCTTAATTTGAGGGACCTGGGCTTGGGTTGATAGAGGAATGAACGAACCTAGTTATAGAATAAATTCCTCATGAGAACACAAGTCGGCCAACCTCTGACAGGTCAGCTATGGTCAGTTTTCAACTTGGATTAGTATTTAGAAAGAAGATGGATTTGTAATTCAATACAATACAGTTATGGGGTGGGGTTGGGGGGAGATGGCCGTCCTTGACTCCAGGACCCGCCGTCCTGACATGAGGCTGCAGGGCAGGGTGCCCGCCCTTGGGGAGAAACCAGACGACGAGACACTCTGGCCGCCTCACTGCTTGCTGGCCCCCCGACTACTCCAGAAGCAGGCTGACCATCTCTGATGGCCGCGTTTTAAGATTATCTAGGGAGCAGTGAGACTTCTGAACACTGTGTCTACAGCACTGTTTGTGGAAGAATTACAAGTGTATTCCCCCAAAAAATTAGGTGGAAAGAAGGTGGGATTCGTTGGAGACCAGAAAACCTGAATCCTGGTCCACTCGCTCCATTTACCTCACTGGCCTGTCGTATCACCTGAAATCGTGAAAAAGCACGAGGTTTGTACAACGTGAGTCAGCGTTCAGGTGCCTGGTTGGGCAGCGTTGGGCGGCCTGGTCAAGCTTTTTAGATTTTATTAGATTTTATTTATTTATTTTTTCCCCCCAAAGCCCCAGTAGATAGTTGTGTGTCATAGCTGCACATCCTTCTAGTTGCTGTATGTGGGACGCGGCCTCAGCATGGCCAGAAGAAGCGCGTCGGTGGGAGCCCGGGATCCGAACCCGGGTCGCCAGCAGTGGAGCACGCTCACTTAACCACCAAGCCACGGGGCCGGCCCATGGTCAAGCTTTTTAAATGCTCTCAAGTAGAATATGGCTGAACAGCTCCAAGTTATCAGATAGTTAAGTGAAGCCAGATTTTTTTTTAGCGTAACGCATCTAACAGTGGGAACCGTGCCCCCCTGATCTTACTTGTCTTGCGAAAAGATGGGCTTCCCCGCGCTGCAGGTGTTGAAGGGAAAGCCGAGGGCAGCAGGGTGTAGTGAGACGTGACTGGACAGGAGTTCTGGAAAGTGGAGTCAGAGTCCCAGCCCCATGCCCTTGGTCGGGTCTGGAAGCCTCTCTGGGCCTCTACTTCCTGCTCTGTAAAGGGAGGGGTTGAACTGGTGACCTGCAGTCATGTCCAGCTCTCATGCTTTGCTCCCTGCATTAGTCTGGCGTAGCTCCAGAGGAAGGCAAACTGCCCAGCCCTGCCACTCACGGGCTGTGTGACCTTGGGCAAATCATTTACCCTCTCTGTGCCTTAGTTCCCTCATCTATAAACTGGGGATGCTAACAGTATTCACCTAATAGGACTGTTGTGAGGAGTACAGGGCATTGTGTGTGCGTGTGTGTGTATATATATATGTATATATATATATATATGTGTATATCCTTTAGAATAGTGTCTACTTGGCATTTATAAGGAATCGATAGACAGTAGCTGTCCTTACTCCTCTACTACCACTGTCACTCCTGACGACCTTTTTAGCTCTTACGAGTCTGTGATGCCTTCCTGTATATTTAAACTGAACAGGATTTTCTTGCGACAGCGTCACTGTTAACCGTGTACTTGAAAGGAGCTCCTGGTCTGTCTCCTAATAAACTCTCCGGATCTGTTTCAGGCGGAGGCCAGGCTGGCGGCGAAGCGTGCGGCCCGCGCCGAGGCCCGAGAGATCCGGATGAAGGAGCTGGAGCGGCAGCAGAAGGAGGTAACGCTTGGGCTTCTCTGTCGAGTCTTCTCACAGACGTTTTTATTTTGGGTGGAGTGTGCAGACGCAGAGCACCTGTCTGTTTGACATTGCTCGTGACCGGATCACACTTGTGCCCATGACTTTTGTTCAGGGTCAGCCTGGGGAGTGCACATAGCGCAGATACCAGGCGTGCCTGTCCCAGACACTCGACCTGTGGGGTCCCGAGGGGGCCTCCCACACACAGCCACTTGCTGCCCAATCTTCCCAGCCAGCTTTCTGGCTGAAGGGAGCCAAGAGGTGCTGGCTCTGAACTTCGAGGTCTAACTGTTGAGCTAAAATGCTGATTCTTTGAATTAAAATGTGATAGAAGAACAGATTATTATGTTCTGAAACTAACCAAATTGTCTTGTTTAAAAATATTTCCCCTGCGGTTTTTACGGTTTTTAATAGGTTTCATGATGTCTGAAGTCTGTATGTGATACAGAGTACAGAGTAAACACCATGGGAGAAATAGCCAGGGAAGAAATTGCCCCCCTGGGAAAATGGGTAGTGATGTGTTTACACACCTGTTCATGCTGTTTGCTACTCATTTTCATGATCTTGAGCTGGAGCCAGAAGTCACGTGGACAGCGTGAGTGCTCTTTAACTTCTGTCAGAGCCTCGAGCTTTTCCATGACCTTAAAGTCTACGTTACCTGGTGAATAAAGCGAGTCTTGATTCCATGTTCTCCTGTGGGCCGTGCCCCATGGGAGCATCCACATCAGGCGCCACTGAAGGGCTTTTCTCCTTCAGAAGATTTGAGTTTATTGGGTTGGAGAGAGACAGCCAGCTGCCTTCCCCAGGGCTGATTTTCATACACAGGGTCTTGATTGGGTCACACGGCCAAATTTCAAAAGTCAAGCCAATGTTTTAAAACTTATGAGATTTCGGATAAAACTCTGGATTTCCAATTTCTTTTAAAACCGTTGAGGATTCCACCACATTCCCTGTAGGGGGAGGCCCCCGGCCACCAGCCTGAGACACTTATTGTCTTTCCCTGCCTGCGGAGTTTGCCACTTAGTGTGGAAATGTGTAAGAGGGGGAGGGCCGTGGCCAGACTTGAGCTTGGGGAGGAAACTCTTCAGCGTGGAGTGAAGAATGGGTTGAAGATTACTAGAAACTCAAATCCAGGAGGTTAGTTAGGAGAGTCGTACCACAGTCCCCATGATGGTGATGGGGACAGGAGGGGACATGTTTCCTGAGAGAAAGGCCATACCATACTTCAGCAGTTGTTGGGAAGTGCCCCGAGCAGACGAGCATCACGTGTCCTGTGTTTACACGTGAATAACAAGACTCAACAAATATTTGAAAGTCCATCACCACGTTCTCCCTCATTGTTGGAAATACAAATACAGTTGTAAGTAAATTTAGTTTTTATGGTATTTTGCCTCTAGAAGTAATTTAGTACTTTTAATTTAGCAATTTTCTGTGCTTTTTTTCCTCTTAATTTACTCAAAGAAGCACAGGTTTAGCATTTTCTCAGTGCCTTTCCCCCGTAGAATTGCATTCATTGTTTTAAAACTGGAAATAGACTCCTGAATTTTCATTTTAATTGTTTGGACTTGACAAATGAACTGGAACTTGGGGTAAGGCCCGAGGATTAATATAAGTACCTGCCTCCCCATTATCTGTTACCAGTGAGATTCGGCTCTATTGGGGATAGGAACCTGATTAAAACTGGCCATAAACTCCACGTATATGCCTGACCAGAATTGATTATTGAAGATGGTTCCAAGATGCATATTCAGGAAAGTCTCCAGAGAGAAGTATTTGGATGGGGAGGTAGAGAAAAGGAATAGATCTTGCTTTGTAGACCTTTGTCACATACCTGTCTGAGACAGTGTCACCTGTGCTTTAGAAGCCATCCTGACACCAAGCAGCCTCTGCACACTCAGACTCTGGTATAAATAGTAATTGTTGGAGGCCACCTAATGGAATAGTTCTTTTAGCCTGAACTGGTTTTTAACAATAGATATTTTAAATGACAGATTGCTTTTTCAAACTGCCTGGTGTCGATGTCTCTTTAGAACATTTCTATTCTTTCAGTAGATACTTGCAAGCCCACTGTGTGCGGGACACCGCCAGCGCCTCCCTCTGCCTTAGAAAGCAACATGGCAGTGGGACGTTCAGGTGCTCATGCAGCAGCGGTGGGCCACGGTTTCTCGGGATGCATCACAGTTTGTGGCGTGCAGTTGCTGCATTCTGCAGCACCAGGAGCTGCCCACTCTCTCAGCGGCTCATCGGTTCTAATCCGCTTCCCTGGTTTCCCAACAGTCCCCCAGTCTTGTTTATATTAAGGTCGTAAAAGAGTACGACCTTCGTAAAAGAAGAATTTCCCCTAATATTTTGCTGCTCTGCCAGGTTTTGCCACAATTGATTGAATGTCAGCACCGTGCCCCCTCCTCCCCTGTTAGTGAGAATTTCTGGGCCTGTGGCTGTCCTCTCAGCTCTGCTCTTGCAGCTGAACCAACCAACGGGCTCAGGAAAAAGGTGACAGTGAATCTGTAAGGGGCCCTACCTTTGGTTTTCGTAGTGGTATGAGTAATCATCTTATCATTTTTCTCAAGTCTGAGAGAAAGTTATTTTCACCGCGAATACAAATGTAAAATTTCTACAAAATCAAGGTGAAAATGAATTATATAGTATGTACGTACGTATCTATCTTCCAAATTATACATTTAGATAAAATATATTCTATCCTTAAGTATGGGTAGAATTGATTTAAAATATATACATGATAACAGAAGCAGCTTATTACTCACAAAGTTCTATGGCAAAAGTTCTTGATTTAGAAAATAAAAGTAAGAGGAATTAAGCCAAGAAAACATCTATTCAAATGGCCTCCTTTAAAAGCAAAGCACCCGTTTCTCCCTTTGAGTCAAAGGAAGTCCTCTTCTGTTCCATTTTAGTTCTGCAATGTAAGAGTTATCTGTTGCTGAACTCCTGCGTTTCGGTTGCAATATTTCAAGCAGCGAAAATGCAGTTGCTACCCAAAGATGGGAAACTTTAAGTCTTGGCCATTTAGTTTTGGTATTGTTAAATGGAGTTGGACATCAGGAGGGGGAGTGAGACATGTGGAGGGTCCCTACCGCCAGGCACAATACCAGGGGCCTTGGCAGCTTTCACCACCCCTCACAGCAGCCCTTTGAGGCTCATGAAGCCCCCACTGCGCACACAGGACAGGGGAGCCCCAAGGAGTTAAATAACCCATCCTGGTCGCAAGGCAGCTGGGCGATGGAGCCAAGATTTGAACCCGGGCCTGTGGACTGGCAGAGCCCAGCTCCTGTGCAACACGCGGTGTTTGGTGCCTGCTGAGGAGCTCCGACTTTGCAGGGAAAATCCAATTAAAATCTGGGAAATCTGATTAAAAACGCCACAGTTGCCTTCCTCAGTCATACACACACATGTCGTTTGGTTAGTAGGTGGCATTAGAATTTTGAAATTCGTCATTGTAACAGTATGTTCCACTTTGACTGTGAAGACATTTAAGTGGTTCACGGGGATCAAATGTTCCGTCATGATCCGGGTCCCATGGAGCGTCTCACCTGGAGACAGGTTGGTAATTTGGGCCTTCTCAGAGGTCAGTTGCCCGGCAGAGGTGCTCTCCAACGAGGGAGCAGAGTCTCCACCACGGGTGGGTATGAGTTGAGAGACGACCAGGAGCGCTTGGTTTCACCCGTGAGAAAGCACCTTAGGGACACGTCACCTTTTTAATTTGTCCTGTGTAGGTCATTCGTCCGTCTGTGCTCACACTCCTCGGACAGGCAGTGACACAGTGAAGGCGCCTTCTCTGCTGAACGCAGACTCTTCCTTGGGGTCAGGTCGTGTCCCTGGTGACCAGCGCCCACGCGGTGACTTATCACAGTGTGGAATGAGAACCCGTGATGTGTTAGAGAGGAAGCAGAGAGACTAACTCTGGACTTTACAGCAAGTGGGGCCACTGAGGGAAGGAGCCGCAGGAGAGAAAAGCCAGGACGGGCAGGAAGCCATCCTTGGGAGATGACGGCCAGATGGAGGAGGGGTGAAGCGTGGAGGGAAGTGCCCTGGTCTTTCTATTGATCTGGTTAGGCCAGCAGCACTGACTTGTACAAATGACAGTCTTGCTATCATAAATTTAGGATCTTTGAAATATGAGAGCATTGCTATCTATTTAAAATTTATGTCTGCTTCTTCGAAAAAGAGATTTGAAAGGTTTTAAGTAAAATAGATGTATGTTTTATTACTTATCAGAGAGGACTGGGGTGGGGCAGAGGGGAATGGCAGGGACATCCTGGAGCCCCTAGTGGTGGCAGCACTGGGCTGGGTACTGTCACTTATAGTCTGTGAGGGAGATCTTCCGAGTTTTATTTCAGGTGAAGAAAACAACCCTAGAGAGATCAGACAGTTTTCCCTGAAGCTGAGAAAATGACTGAGCCAAGGTTCAAATCTAGATCTAAAACCTCTGCAAAGCTTGTGGTCTTCCTCATACAGCCTGTGCCTCGAAATCAAATACGTAATCAACAACAAAAACAAACAAAAACAAAGGATAGAGTCAGTGTGTTAACCAGGGATTAAAGTCGGCTGTGAGCATGCTGACACTCGCAGGAAAGGGGGAAACAGGATGGCCCACATAATCCTAGTCATTTTACAAATGGAAGCATACCTTGAAAAACAGGTTTTTTCGTTGGTGCTGAATTCGAGGCACAGTATAATAAACGCAAAATAGGCGATTTTGTTAGCAGGAGCTTTACAGAGAGCATGGAAGCAGTAGCTGTTCATCTGGCTGTTCCTTGATTTGACCCCAGTCCAAGGATGGGGGCGCGTACACGTGTGTGCACGTGTGTACGCATGAGCATTTGTGTATGCATCTAGGGACAAGAGTGAGACAAGCTAACATGGTCCAAGCTTGAGGTTTGGGACGTGCTTTAAGGATCCAGGAAGGTGTACAGACAACACCTCTCTCCGCCTCTTCTTTGCGTATCACATCTCTGGGCCTGACTATTATTAGAACTAGTAACACAATTTGAGGTTATACAATCTGATAGCCTGGGGCACTGGCATTTTAAGTTGTTGATTAAGTGGAAATGAATCTGCTTTGGAAGAGCAGTGTTTAACTAGTAGGGTTGATATTTTGGTGTAAAAATTGAGAAACGTGATCCCTGATTTCATCTGGTGGCGAGCCATCCTACCTCTATACAGGGGTTTCTGAGTGGGGCCAAGGGTTTCCTTGAGAAGGAGGTCGGATCAGCTGAAGGTGGACAGAGCCTGTGAATGCCTGGAGGGCAGTGACTGTCCCTGGGGGCTCGAGAGAGCAGGAAGCTGGTGACGTCATTTGGGGCGTTTCAGAGATGGGTTGTGGTTGAAGCCACACTAGTGCCTGGGATCCTCCAAGGCCAGCATGGAGAGTGCGCAGAGAGGAGAGGTGAGTGGAGACACCTGTGTTTGAAGAATAAAGACCTGTCATCAAGCCCCAGCAGACCCTGAGGACATGGGGCCCATGAACTGGCTGCGGATCTATCTACACTGCCCAGGCCACCCCCAGCCATCTCTGGCAGCCCATTGCACTTTCCATGACGGTTCTCTTCAGCAGTGCAGATGATGAGGACCCACGACGTGAGCTATGCTTTGGGGGCTATTTAAAAATATTATGAGCTCCTTTTTGATGGATTTATTAGGAAATCCAAGTGGACCTTTTACTTCAAAATGGTGGTGTGGTGACCAGGTGATGTGGTGAGAGATGTGATGACCGGGAGATGTGGTGACTGGGACATGTGGTGACCGGGTGATGTGATAACTAGGTGATGTGGTGATCAGGGTGCATCTCTTTTGTAACTACTGATGATAAACATTTTTGTTGGAGGTACTATGTTTAATATAGTCATAATGTTGAATATGTTTACGTAGCTTCACCCATATAAGGCTAGAAACACCAAGTTTCTAATCTTAGAGTTTTGGCAGCACTTTGAACAATGCCTGACATGGTCAGTGTTTTGTTGAATGAATGAATTAGTGAATGAATAAATGAAGTAGATATCTCAGTATTTCCTAGTGATTACTACAAAATTAGGAGAACCTGTGACGCAAACTAATATGTCAGTGTGTGAGAATAAGCCTTTTTAAAAAAAATTTCAGTTATATTTTAGTGATCACTCTGTTTAGTGGAATTTTCCTGGTATTCTTTTCATGTCTGCATGAATCAGAACGTGAAAGCATCTTTCTTCACTATTTGTGAATTTGACCAGTTGACTTTCCAATTAAATTTCAGTACTTTTTTGTTCAAATTTTATCACTGTGAAAAGTTGAAATTTTAAATTGAAGAGGAGTACTTTTCCCATTAATGGTAATAGGGTATGCAAATTTCTGCATTAGAAAGTAACAGGATGTTTATAGAGATTCATGTGGGTATGCCCAGGTTTCACCAATATTTCTAAAATAATGTAAAATAAGTTATGAAATTACTGATTATTTCAATGAGACTTCAAAATATTTTTTAATTCATATTTTACCACTATTCACTGTTTTTTTTCCCAATATGGCTTTTATTCATATTTCAGGGTACTTACAGAACCTTTCTTTCTGACGTTTCTACTTCTATAATTGGATTTTATATTTCTTTCCCTGTTTCCTTTGCCCTTCTCTCTAGATCTATCAGGTTCAAAAGGTAGGCTCTTCCTTCTTTATTTTCTAATTTGCATGTACTAGTTCTCCCTTGCTGAGGGCCTGGGCACCTTTCAGAAATAACGCCTCGTGTTGACAAGACGTGCAAGTTCTTACTGCTTCTTTCACTGCTTTGTTATGAGTTGGTTTGAATAAGAAAGCTTAGGTCCCCACTTATCCTCTCACGAAAATCAACTGTCCGTCACACACGTATCTGTACACTGAATGCTTTTCCCATCTCCATTTTCTCAAGAAATTAGAAAATTGTTTCTTTGAGAAAAAAATGAACTCTGAGACAAAATAAAATCACATTTCAGAATTTAGGAAACCTTTTGAGATCAGATATTTATAGAGAAAGATTATCCTTCCATATAATTTTATTAGAATATTTTTAAAATATCAATGCAAGTTACCACACATTAAGAGATTATTACATACTATTTAAAAATCTGAGTAGAAAAGAAAATGACGATAGAACAATGAAATCCAATAGCTTAAAATAAACCTATCCTCTCTCCCTGATATTCAGAGTCCTAATGTGCATCTCTGTTTCCTAGTTATTGTGAGAAGTAGCTGAGGTTTAGAAATAAATACACTAAGCAGGCCAGACACAACAAATAAAGAGAAAAACAACCAAGTCAACGTCTCCTGATTCAGCAATAATGTAGGAAGGAGTGAGCAGATTCCCTGAGAATTCATAGAATGTGTATACAGTGAGTCTTTCCCATAAATGAATTCAGTTTGTTACTTATGACATCTGTAATAGTTGCTTTTTATAAATCTATTTAGTTTATGGATAAAGAAAAACTAGATTTTTCTTTTAGAGCAGCTCAGCAAGTCAAAATAAGGTGACCATTTCAGAGGTTAAAACATGCAGGCCCTTTAAACACACTGTCAGTAAATTAAAATTCTGTCTTTGGATTTTTTTACTAGCTACAATTCTCAATTGCTTTTCCTTCCTGCCCCCCCTCACTCTGAGTAACCACTGTCCTGAACAGTGTAAAGAAATCAGTGAAGTAGGTGCCAGAATCTATTTGTACTTTGTTAGTTTTTGGAGAGTCCAAGTATTGGAATGTATATTGAAGCTAGATCAAACCATGCTTACAGAGGCTTGGTCAGAATTTCACAGGTAGAAGGCAAGGCTGATGGGGCTGGGACCCTTCGCTGTAACTGACGGAGGAGGAGGACGTAATTGTCCAAAACCCAGACAGGGGACTCTCTCTGGTAATTACCACATTGGTTCATTCCTTTCTAGTTCTAGATCACTAGTATTTTCTTTTTACTAGCTCACTGGGGATACATTGTTAGAACTTTGTCAGATGTTGTTTTGTATACAAAATAAAACTAGAGGGAGCTCAGGAAGCCCCCAGTGGAAAAGCAGATACACGTTTTATAATAAAGATGTGTCCAAGTAAGGGAAGGCTTTCCTTGTCACTAAGATTTGTGAAAAGGAAAAAGAAGCAGTAAATGTTCTCTCCCAGCCCATTGGGCTGTGTCGCATAATGGTTTCTCTTCTGTTGAATCGAAGCTATTTCTGAAAGTCGAGCACCTTTGCATTAGTCTGGCTCTCACTTCCCTCTGCATGACTCACTTGCTAATCATAGTCGTTTACATTTGAGCTATTGTATGCTTTCTGGAGTGTGCTGTGCTGGCCCCGCTAGCTCACATCAGAACTACCAGTGAATTGCACTTACTGTTTCTAGGGGTGCTCTCCCTCCGTGGAATGACATGGAAATGTAGCTAGAGTTACGGCAGCTGTTAATAAGGCCACCCGTGAACTAGATGAAAGATTTTGAAAACTGGTATCATGAAAAGAACAATAGTGTGCTGTGCTTGACACAGATATAGAATTGGCAAAAAGGAAAATAGAAAAATAGAAAAACCAAAAAAATAGAAGTGCGTTCCACTTCAAAGGCCCAGGGTTCACAGGTTTGGATCTCGGGCACGGACCTACACACCGCTCATCAAGCCCTGCTGTGGTGGCGTCCCACATATAAAATATAGGAAGGTTGGCACAGATGTTAGCTCAGGGCTGATCTTCCTGAACAACAGCAAAAAAAAACACTAAATTTTTTTTGCGAATTTATTTAGGTTCCCCTCCTTTTTTAAAATATATTTTCTTTCTGTCTTTGTAATTAAGCCATGAGATAAAAGAGAGTTGATGGCATCACATTTTACGTGTGAAAAATCTGGAATTTGACAGAGGGGGGATAACATTAATTGAATGCAAAGTAGCTTTAAGCTGTTGCATTTCACATAAATGGAAGTTAAAACATGACTTTGGGAAGTGCAGCTTTTATTTCCTTTCTCAATTTGTATTCTGAGGAAAGTAACTTAACAGGAAAAGATCTGGCTCGTGTTCGTATGATATTTCAGTTCTGTATTGGCTAAATTTTTTAAATGTTGTTAAATTCTCCTAATTTTTCCTCTTCTAATTTTCTACTTACTGCCGTCTCTAAGAGAAAGGGGCAAGACCATCGGAGAGCCAGATATTTCAAATCTGTCCACCCTTCAGAATAAACTGAAACTAAACCAGACATAGCAGCCGCATGTTTTGGCAACGTTTTGTAAAACAATTTCACAAATTGTCTTGTACTTCTCGCATCCAATTTTTTTCTTCTGATTATAAGATTTTAATGTGTAAAGAGGAGAATCACGTCTGGGCTATATGATATGGAGATTTGGTTGGTTGTTGCTTGATTTTCTTATTGGAAATTGAGAGAAAAGTGAGGGAAAAAGCAAAACCCCATTATTTGAGACTATGCTTGGATTCCCACCCAACTTTGGAATTACTGGATTTAGTAACAGTAATAGCCATTCTGAGTCTGCTTTTCCAATTCCAACTTGGCCCATTGTGGTTTCGACAAGCAAGGCAAAAGCGTACAGGCGTTAGCTAAAGAAAAGGCTAGACATGACTGGGGAACATAATTTTTTTTCCCTGTGCAAGGACTTCTTCTGCAGGCTACTCAGTCGTCGTTCCCTCAGTGGCGTGCTACAAAGACATGCAAAGTCTGTAGATTCTCATGGACCTAAATTTAGCATAGATATCAGATAGCTGGAGCAGGTGTATCAGAAACCTAGGGCTTGTCACACAGTTTCTCCCCCTGGCCTCTAGGTTTTCTCATTCCTGTTGTAGCAACATGGGAATGGCTGTCAGCTTTTGCGTCTCTTAAGCAGTGTCTTATTCCCTCTGTACATTTGCTTTGAAGGCATGCACAGCTTCACTGAAGGGCTTGCAGTGCTGCTGGGCTAAGTTCCAACTCCTGGTCTCTACTGAGGCCGCCCCCTTGCCCCAGGAATGCTCTCTCCTGGGCTCTCTGTGCTTGACTGGGAGGGAGCGGGCTGGAGAGTCTGTCTTCACGGGCTCTCAACTACACAGACAGCTTCTGCAGAGCCTGGAGCGTGTTATTTACTGCTTTGCCTTGGCATGTTACTTTCCCGTGTGGCTTGGGCAGCAATTCGGAAATGCATGTTGGAACAGTTCCTTATGCGGTTACCTACTGTTTCACTTCTTGTTTAATTTTCTTCCTCTTCTATCTATAGAAATATTACGGGCTGGATACAAAATGGGGTGACATCGAGCAGTGGATGGTAGGCCTGGAATACCATTTTAAGAAACTTAAACAGTTTATAATTTGATTCTTATACAGTTTAATTGCCTTGATTGATTCCTATTGCACCCTAATTTAATACTGAGTGATTTTCTTCCGGGGACTTCTGCATCTGGCCTGATTGTTTACATCCCATACGAAGCCTGGTTAGAAACGGGCCTGGCCGGGCGTTTCTGTCTGGTCTGTTCAGCAGCCGCTGGCTCTGTCCGCCTTTGCTGTGGATCCCCGCCTCACCTTGTCTGCTCTGCCCACTGAAACCACTGTTCTTTGGTGAGAAAATTCCTTTACCTTCTGGACTTGTTTCCTAGGACAACTTCTCTGTCCTCCTAAGTCAAGTGAGAGCTGGTTCGCCCCTCATGATACCCCTGTCCTTACAACCCTCTCGGGAGGAGATGGTGCCCCAGGGCGAGAGGCTCCAGAAGGGGAGCATTCCACTGCTGTCTGCTGGTCCCTTCTCATTAATTCATCCACTTGAGTTCGTCCCACCTCTTCCCGTCCTTGACACCTTATTGACTGGCCTCATGGACATCATCACATACTTTTAGCATTTGAGGACCAGGCCAGTATGGAAATGTCCTATTCAATGTCCCTTACACATAAAATAATCTAAGAACATGTAAAATTACCTCCTAACATCTTAGATACCTGTGTATAATATAAAAGAATAGTTCTTGAAATATAAAGAGCACACACTTCCTCTGTTGAAAAAAAAACGATGAACTTCAACCTTTACTATGTGTAAACCATCATTTTAGGCTTATATGGCACAGGCAGATGTATTTTTATCAAATCTTAAGACACAGTTAAAAGATGTGTCATTGTTTTATATACCACTGAGAAAAACAAAAATGCTGCTAATTATAATGTGAGCAACTTTGATTATAAGATACACCCCGACTTCATAGATGTCCAAATGTGAAAAACTGTGTCTTAGAACACACAAAATATAGTAGATAGGGTGACATTCTTGTTGGATCTTTTATGGAAATGATTTATCTTCTGATTCCTGAAGAGAAGAGAGTAAGGTTCTGATTGTAAAAAAAAAAAAAAAAAAGGAGATTGATTTAAATGGACCATGTTACAGGGGCCGGCCTGGTGGTGCAAGCGGTTAAGTGCGCGCGCTCTGCTGCTGCGGCGGCCCGGGGTTCACCGGTTCGGATCCCGGGCATGCATGGATGCACCGCTTGTGAAGCCATGCTGTGGCGGCGTCCCATATAAAGTGGAGGAAGATGGGCATGGATGTTAGCCCAGGGCCAGTCTTCCTCAGCAAAAAAGAGGAGGATTGGCAGGTGTTAGCTCAGGGCCGATCTTCCTCACAAAATAAATAAATAAATAAATAAATGGACCATGTTACAGAAGTTAGGAAAAAATTAAGACCCAGCTTCTTTCCCATCACATGCTTTACAGCCAAAGTGGAATATGCCAGTTATTTGTGTGCTTAAGTACCCCTCCACCCAGAAGAAAATGTTTCCCCCAGCAGTTTAATTGAAGCCTTTTAATGAAAGCAAAGAAAATATTTATTTGACATTTATACCAGAAATACTGTATTGCGTCACACCTGGACTATGTGAGGCCTCTCTGTCTGTTTCTAACCTTCTTACACTCTTCCCCCCTTGCTTTGGTAGGAAGACAGCGAGCGCTACTCGCGTAGATCCAGGAGAAACACGTCGGTTAGTACCGCGTTCACTCATTACGGGGGCATTTTGTTTGAAGTCTAATTTGTAGCTTTGGTGGCTAAAATACATAAATTGTATAGATATGTCTTAATGATATCTATGTATATCTTAATGATGTTTATGAAAGAAATTAACTAATACTGATATTATTACCTAAACAAAGCCTGTGAATTCAGCTTTTAGCATTTTGACCTAATTTGGTGAGGGGAGAGTGTTTGCGAAATTTCTGACTTTTAAAATATTCATGATGGTTTTTCTGCTTTTTTTTTTTGCTTTTGAATACTCATGTATAATTTGCAGAGTAATATGCACTGAGGCGCTATGTATTTGTGGGTTACCGGCAAAGTAGATAACACTACTTTAATGCAATTAATTTAAAGCCTTATTATCAAGAAACAGTCCTCTGTAAACAGAGGTGCACAAACAAAACGCATTTGGGGAAGACCTAGGCGCAGGTCCACTGAGACCCTCTGAGATGCCTGATCCGCCCCACTACTATGGTGTCGGATCAGCCGCGTCCCTCTGAGAGCTGGGCATTGGTTTCCTCATGTGTCTTATGTTATCACTTCATGGTTGTTTTCATCCTTTCTTTCACTAGGCTTCTGATGAAGATGAGCACATGTCAGTGGGTAGTCGTGGAAGTCTGAGGGTCAGTAACCAGAATGATTGAGTTTGCATGGTCCGTTTTGTGGTCGAAGTTCTTTGCTTTTTCATCCCTGCATTCAAATGTCTTGTTCATTATCCCTGTAGTTTTATAGTCAATATCTAACTGACAAGATGCTTATTTAAAATCTAATCGATAGTGGGATGTCTCTTTGTTGTTGTAGAGAGATTATTAATGAGCATAGGCATTTTTGTTGTGACTTCCTCCCAGGAGTGGAAGTCATAATTTTTTTCTGTTTGTCCACATCACAAAACTGCCACCCCTTGCTAGGTTGTCTCAGCATTGGTGGTGTGATGAAGGCAATGTGAAGGCACATTCTGTCCTTAAGTCCTCATGCCTATTTGCATACATGCTCCCCAATCACATTTCAATTTCAGATAATTATTATTCAGCAATGTTTTTACATAGCTCCTTGAAAGCTGCTGGAGGCTGCCTGGTGGAAAATTGGAGCAGATTGGATCCGTAAGACCCAGTCTGTTCACCTTCAGGAGCCTTTCCTTTCATCAGCTATAATGAAATCTCTTCATCGCTGACAGCTTGATGGTTGATAAACCATTTCCTGATAAACCAGGAAATACACATTCTTCCTTAAACATTCCAAAAATCTTCATAATTATACTTGAAAAAATTGCATGCTTTAGGAAGTGAAGTAGAGAAACTAGGTTTTGCTTAGTGCTTTAAGTTAGTAAATTAGTCTGAGCCTGTCAGTTTAGTTTACCACAAGGTTAAAATTGCATCTCATTGCTGGTAATAATCAGGTCTCAATGCAGCCACTGCATTTTACTTAAGGACTATCTAGAGCGGAAGGCTTGTTTTTAATCACCGTGACAATTAAATCGTAATATCACTCCTAGACTTCTTATAGATGCACTAAATGTGCATTTAGTTTGGCTGTCTATGACAATACACTATGACGGTGACACATTGTTGTTGTGCTGTTAAGCAGTCATTGTCATTGTCCTTGCCAAAAGCAGATCCACAGTGGTTGTGCCAGAAAGTTATGGTTCAAATGTGAAGTCAGCTAAAGAGCTTCCTTGCTATTTCAAACTTTCTCCTTAGCCATACAGTTGTAACTTCCTCATAGACCCTCTGACATAGAGGGAGTAAGATTTATGTAACCAAAATGTTATAAATACAAAACTCGGTGTGCAGAATCCGTAAACAAGGCACAGAAATTACAGCTGTTGAGCAGGCCCAGGAAAAGGTTGAGCCCTTGAAACCAAGTGAAGAAGATGCTTTCCAGGAGGAGGGGTGTGATCAGTGAGTGTAGGACTGAGGACTGCCCATTGGCCTTAGCATCACGGAGGACATTGGTGACCTTGACAAGGGAACTTTTGATGGACATGGTGAGAGCAAACTCTGATTGATATGGGCACATGAGAGAACAAGAGAGAAATTGCAGCAGAATCCAAATATCTCTATCAAAATATCACTTTCAGATCTATAATCCTCCTGAAATTGTATGCAGAATTTTATGTATACTTACATTTTGGGGGGGAAAGAATTTATCACTTTCTGAAGATTCTCGGAGGGTTTCCTGATCGCAAAGAGTTTAAAACTATTGCAGTATGAGTGAGTGTTAGGGTGTTTATAGCATTCATTTCGTTTTCAGTGATTTTACACAGAAATGAGTTAAATTTATTGGTTGGACACCATTCTTTGCCAAGATATCAAGCATATTTGCTTTAAGGTATAAAATTTTATAGAGGAAGTTCACAAGTAGGATGCTAAGTAAAAGAGAGGGAGAAAGTGGAAAACCAACAGTGGGTGGGATTTTCATTTTTAGCCACATGGTTGGCTACACTGCACTTTTCCATGACGTACTTGATCTGAAGAAATAGCTGTCTTCAAAAACCACAGATCTGGAGAACTTGGATCCTGGAGATAAGAGTCAAACCTCGTAATTTTTATAGGCACAGAACAAGCCCAGAGCAGTTAAGAGGCCTGCTCAGGGCCACAGTCTTTGTGACAGCACCAGTCCCCCCCCCCCCCCCCAACCCTCAGGGGCCTGGAAGCTCTGGCCCCTTTTAGTTGGTGGGCCAGGCAAGGGGACCAGCATGGGTACCACCTGCCCTGATGAGAGGCTCTTATCTCACTCCATCTGACTCCATTGCTATGTAGGGTTGATTTGTGCTGTTTTGATGTATTTTAATATCCTGAAATCTTTAGTTTGCGAAGTTCTGATTTAAGATCATATCTTTTATTTCTTGACTTTTCCAAAACACAGGCCTTCTTCGTTAAACTCACAGTTATGGTAAACCCTTTAAAAAGGGTGCAATTTTACTGTTCTAGTGTTTATATGGATATTCTTCTCAGAAAATCTAGATTTTGGATATCATAAGTTTTTAATTTTCCTTGTTTAAAAATTGAGAGTGATGTATCTGTTCGCGTTTTGCCTAACATAAATAGAATGGGTTTTGTAGAGGAGGAAATAAGATTGCTCAAACCGCTTAAGATTTCATGAATTATAGCTACCTTTGCTGTGAAAGTTTTATTTAATGTTATTGGATTTTACGGTAGCTGTCACTCCAATGGAATTCCTTTTGTAAATACACGAGATCCTAGTCATGAAAAAAATGCAATTTTGTTAAGATTTTCAGGATTGCTTGTTTTTGGTTTTATGTTTTGTTATGTTTTACTTAGCTTTTTAATTGATTTTTGGCAACTCTCTTTTCTGAGATCTTCCTCTTCCATTCTGACTCTGACAGTTGCAGCCTGACTTGGAGTATGGGGCTCCCTACACCTGGGTGAGACAGTCGGATGGACTTGCCATGTGATCCTAACAGTGTTGTGTGACAGATAATAACCTATGGTGTTTCCACTAATCATGGACGTTTGTCCAAGTCCATCTGTGTCCAAAAAGACACGTATGCCATCATCAGTCTTTACCTGGGGCCCGAGGGCCGGAGGGCAGGTCCACCCACCAGAGTGAGAGCTCTTCCTCCCAGAGTCTCCTGGCGCAGCTCTGATCCTCGTGGATGGGCTCTGGAACCCCGAACTCCCTCACTCACTGGGGGTCCATGAGCACCAGCTGTGTGCCACGTGCTGTGCCAGCAGCTGTGGACACCAGGATGGAAAAAGAAAGCATCCTACTTTCAAGATCAGATCAAGAATTCCCAATGCCCCTACATTTCCTTTAAAAAATTGAATTTAAAGTCATTTTATCTAAAAGTGAAAAATTAATTATTTTTTACTATATATCCATTTAAATTCAGTGTCCCATCTGGCTCTTTTGCCAGAAAGTGCTTTTTGAGTTCCAGTTCCAGTAACAAAAACGAAGCCTTTAGAATTAAATTCTGGAATTTCCCTTCTTACCTCTGTTCTGTGCCTTATGCTTTCTGAAAGCCTGTAAACGTAAACTTCAGTTCTAAGAAGAAAAAATGTCGTCTCACCAGAAAGTACACTCAGCATCAGAGTGATTCAGGACTGAAGTTCTTATAGCACGTTATACACGTCTTCACTTTCAGGACTTTCTTTCAAAGCATCTTTCTTTAAAAGCATCAAGATTCCATCGCATCTCAAAATTATTTAGCAAATTCCCATTTTAAAAATGTAGTTTTGGGGTTTGGCACGCTCCGCTTCGGCAGCCTGGGTTTGCGAGTGCGGATCCTGGGCGTGGACCTACACCACTTGTCAGCCATGCTGTAGTGGCATCCCACGTACAAAATAAAGGAAGACTGGCACAGATGTTAGCTCAGGGCTAATCTTCCTCAAGCAAAAAAAGAGGAAGATTGGCAATAGATGTTAGCTCAGGGCGAATCTTCCCCAGCAAAAAAAAAAAAAAAAATGTAGTTTTACCTTTAAGATGATAATAGTGCCGTACATCTACATAGCACACTTGACCCTGAGCCTCCTAGTGGGGCTGTTGTTCTGCACTTAACAGAGAGGAGAACCAAGGATGGAGTGAAGGCTACAGGCATTCCAGCCCAGTCTCAGGCTAAGCCACTGGCGAGGGGGGGACCTGCTGTGGACAGCAGGAAGTGCAGACATGTAATTAGCTTCAGAAAGTGCTCCTCACAGAATCTCCCAGAGCGCTTTATCACTGCCCCTGGGGGATGAGAGCATTTCTGTGACACTGTAATTCCAGCAGCTCTTCCATTCTTTGAGTAATTGCATGTTTCTAGATTTTTAGCCTTTTTATTTTAAGCTCAAAGTAAATTATATTTAAGGGCCAGTGCCTGGTGGAATGAATGAATGTATGTGTTAGCAATAGTCAGGAACACTTTTTGGATTTCATTTTTATTTTCAGTTTTCATTCTGTTTTAAAACTAAATTGAGGGCATTTAAGAGTTATGATTTTGCCTGTCTTACTTGGTTTCCCATCTGTAATGCCCTTGAAGGTGATCTGTCTTTTGACTCAGTAGAAAAATAATCTAACATTATTAATGAAGCATTAACAATTGACTTTTGCATGGTCACATGTGCAGTTCGTTAGTGCTCTGATAACACTGCATGGGAGTTGTTGGCATTCTGACTAACCACGAGTTACATTAGAATATTAGAATAATTGGTCTTGATAGAGCATTTATCCTTGTCTCTCATTTATCCTCTTAAAAAATATGAATTTGTGAATGTCTTTTTCGTTTTGTTCTCTTACAGCAGTGCTTCTCAATGTTACTGTATGTAAGATTCACCTGGGGAACTTATTAAAATGCATATTTCTTGGCCCCTAGGGAGCATGTTAAAATGCATATTCTTGGGTCTCTAGGTATTCTGATTTCCTAGGTCAGGGGCCCACGGTCCTAAGGACACCAGGTGACCATGATGCAGGTGGTCGGCGCAGTAAGGAATGTTGAAGAAAAATTCTGTAGAGCAAAGCTAGTTGAACCTCAGAGACCTGAGTTAAGATGAAGTGGATGTGCTGTCTGTGGACTTTTTATTCTAATGTTGTTATGGTTAATTTTCAACTCTCCTTATCCTGTTATACCACATAAAAACAGCTCAATCTATCAAAATTAATGCATAAAAACTACCCAAGAGGAGAAAGTTGGTGGTGTTCTTTAAGAAGGCCAAAGTTCTTTTCACTATAGAGATGTTGTCAACAAGAGCCTATAGATTTGGGAACACATTCTAGGAATATATTCCCTGTGGCAGAATTCCATTACAACAGAAGAAGGTGGATATTCCAGAGAGCCTTTGAAGTGAGAGTTTTTGGTGTGTTTTCCTGGAAGGCCAGAAGAGCAATAATGATAAATGAGAGAGTGCATTCATTCCCTGTCCCAACCTTCCCCCTCCTCCTGCTCTGTGCTGCAGGCTAAGTTAGAGAATGAGAAGACATGAGGAAGAATTCCTCTAAAGCAGTATGTATTTATAAGCAACAATGGAAAGCCAGAGGGTTTATATATGTAATACATTTTTCTTCCTCATTTATTAGTAAAGTAAAAGTCATCCTAAATTGATTGATGTCAGCCTTCATTATTATATTAATTTTTTTCAGAAACTAATTTTTATGCAGATATCAAGGGAATAGATTGAGGTCTGAAATATACAAGTCCTTGACATGCATTTCCGTTATCAGACAATCTTGTTGGTCGAGAGAAGAAATTAGGCTGAGTAAAATTCCTGCGAATCTCCAAAGGTTTTTTTACTGTTAACTTTATTTCAGAAATGTTTTACCATTACTCATAGAATTTTTGAATTTAATGTTGAGGGATATCTCCATACTCTCTTGTTTAATGTAGAAACTTCAAGTTGATTGGTTTGTTTTTTGAGTTATAGCAAAAGTAAATATATACTTTGAGTCACGATTTCATGAATCTAGATTTATAATCTGTCTGGAAATTCATTTATTTATTCTACATTAATGTCATGGCTGCCAAATATGTGCTAAAGAGTTGCCCCTCCCCATTTTAATCAGATTTAATCCTCACAGTGGCCTTGTAAAGTATATACTACTGTGCACATTTTCACAGCTGAGGAAGTGGAGGTTCCGGTGGATTCAATAACTTGCTGAAGGTGACATGACAAAGCTTCTGTTGGGAATCTAGACTCGTGTCCATGACCACCTGGCATCTCTTTCCATTTTCACCGGTCGTGGACCGTTCCTCCTTTTTCTATCACAAGAGCAGGCTGTGTCTCTGTCACTTGACAGCTCTTATCTTGCATCAGTACAAATCTCCTTACAAATGAGAGAGAGCAGTTCTAGAAAGCCCGAGCTTTGGCTGAAGGAAACTTGGGCTGGGAGTAGAGAAGAGAAGGGAGACAGGCATACACCAAACTTAATTATTCTCTTTTCTAGAGACAGATTATGAAATCATGTCCTCAGATTTCATTTTGAAAAATAAAGTAGGAAGACCAGATGAATGAAAAACTAATATAGAGGATACACCCCCATGATAAATGTTTTCTCTGTGATGAACTTTTGCATATAATTATAGATTGCATAGAAGCTCTTCCTGATTCTTCTGAATACAGCTGCATAATGGGCCATCATTGTCAGGGACTCACCCTGAACCAAGAACTGAAAAGGAATTGACTCAGGCCGAGTCATTCCCCATTGCTTGGCATTCAGGCTTCTCGAAAGCTAGGATTTCGCAGCACTACCGTAAAACCGGAAACGAGAAAGCCTCCGAGGAAACAACTGCTCCCAGGCCCACGGGCTTCACTCCGCTGGGGACTTGGCATTGCCTTAAGTCCTAGAGTGCTGCGTGCTTACAAGTAACACCAGGAGGACCGATCTGATTCCCCCGCCTGTGCTGATCTCTCCTGAGCTGTAGTGGAGCAGATCAGGAGCCTGGAGGCATTTGGGCATGCTAGGATTTGTGCTATCCTGGCTTATCGTTCACCTGCTCCACTAAGAAAGCTCGGTTTATACCCGGTCAATTCTTCCTTGCTGATCTGTACCTGTGTCTTCATTTGTATACTGATATCAGTTTTTCTTCTTTTCTTCACTGAAACAGACAAATGGTTATGATGGAGAATTACATGGATCACAGTCCCTGAATAGCAGATCTAGCAGGGTTAGTATAGAAAATGTGCATGGCGCAGAATTCACACAGGTTGCTGCAGATCTTTTTAAAACATTGTGAAATTTAGCAGCTGCTTTGCTTTGTTTCTGTGTTATAGTGGGTCTCCCTTTTTCCCCTAGTGCATAGTAGAATGAAAGATAATGGTTTTCAACTAGTAAACATTCTTAGAATGTTAGTTTTCTAGCATTCTAAGTGTCGGTGTAAGAGATCAGTATAAGAATCTCTGAGATTAGCTCTTTCATTATTGTACTGCCCTAGGTGTGTGTGTATGTGTATATTAAGTATAGTCAGCTTTCAAATATACTTCAATTCGACATTTTCACAGTCTTCCATATTTCTCATTTGTAATTCTAAAGACACGTGTACTAGAGCCTGTGTTTTCCTGAACACTGATGCTTGGAATGCTTCCAGTTCGGGGGTAGGAGGCAGGTGAGGAGCAGAGTAATCTCTCTAGTGGGAGAGAGGAGAAGAAGGAACCCACTGCAGGAGAGGCAGAGGTGGGAGAAGCCTTGGGTTTATCCAGGAGGTCTTTGGGGATTTCAGAAGGTTCAACTGGATACATTTTAATTAAGTTTCATGACCTTCCGCAGATCTGTTATACATTCAATTACTCAAAATTTTCCTGTTCTTACAGTTATTTCATTTTTTCCCTTATAGTAATAAATTTTACTGGGTGTGTAAAACAGTATTTCTTTTAACTTATCTTAATTACATTAAGATATATCATATATACACTTAAATTATATTCTAAGGCTTCAGAGGGGGTACCCCAGCCCCATCTTAGCTTTCTGAAACTGGCTGATCCGGTTTTTACCCTCTCGTCCCTATTAAGGATTGCATACACTTCTATGCTATTTCATGTAAGCTTTTCTCATTCTAGACTAAAAAATCCTCCCACATAAAGGCTATGTCTTCCTATTTATGTTGCTTTTCGCATTGACATCCTTTGGACTTTCTCCAATTCTGTTATGTTTTTCCTTAAGGTAATACAGCACCCTGAGACACAAGCAAGCAGCGTGCCATTCTGTCTTGGGGGGATGTTGACAGTTCTGCTTCCTGTGCTCAGCATTCTCGAAGACTCCTTAGTGCTGACACTATAAGACAAGAGCTGCAATAGTCTCTGATGGCCCCAGACTGCTTGTGGGGGGGGGGGGGTGTTATTGACTAGTTTGCAACTTTTTACCCTAAATGCATTGTTTCACCGTAATTGATCACAAAGAATCATAGTTTAAAGTTGGAAGTTACTTCAGAAGTTCTTTAGTCCACCTTCTCCCCAATATTAGGTTCTTCTCCAGAATATCCCAAACACAGAGTTGCCAACATGTTTGTGACAGTGCAAGGTGACATCAAGCTCTATGTTGTACATATATCCATGTATTTTAATCTTTGATTTTTAGGTTAAAGCAGTAAAAGTGTGCTTTGTGCTTTAGTTAAGATTTAAGTAATGCCTCTAGAAGTTAAATATGAAGGAACTTGATGATAAAACTGTTCACCACAAAGTGAAATTGGATATACAGTCGATTTAATAAATAATCAGGACACATAATGATTGAAGAACCCAGTAACCTACATCTAATGCAGCATCTTATATAGGAAGATCCCAGAGCTGAAAACTCCAGAACAGTGTGAGGATGGGCTTGGAGAAAAGACTGGATGGGAATGAGAAGTTTCATAGATGTCGGAAATACCAGACTATGGGAAGGAATAAAATGACCAGACTGATGATAAGGGTTTGGAAATATCTGTTTCCTCTATGAGGGAACTCAGAGTCTCCATAGGAGGAGGGCTGTGTGATCATCATTTTATGTCTTCATGTGTAATGTTCACACACATCCTCTCCCCATCCAGATTCTTGGTTGGATGTGATCTTTATAAAGACACCATAAAGACGGCTACAGGACATTTGCGTTCTGTGGATAATGGTTCTCAGCTGGAAGGGGGAGTGGCTCCCTCAGGCTCCCCTCACCTCCCGGGAGCTTCTGGGCTGAGCTGGAGCCCTCAGGTGTGCTGACCTGAAGACTGACAATTTTGCCATAAATGGAATTTCAGTTAGCTAAGAAGTTATGTAATACTGAAAGTCTGGAGTAGGAGGTTGTAGATGGTCCATCATGAGATTTAGTAAGTAGTTACAAATAATACTAGAGATGCGAAACTGAGAAACAGTAACAGTTAAACCACACAACATCACTGAGACAAACACTGAAACATGAAATATAGCTTAGGGCCTCTAGTTGTTAAGAATTGCTGCTGTGGCAGAGTGTCTCGATTCTTTAGCTCCATCGGCATTCCTGCGTACTAATGGTGCTTTGGTTGTATAATTTTATACTTGCCTTTTGACGGGGACAGGTGGTGTTTTGGGGATAGTAAGGAAGTGCCCATCACTCACAATGTCTTCTTTGGTGCTCAGAATTCCAGCTACAGCGGTGACGGCAGATTCTCTACTTTGTCATCATCCAGAGAGGAGAAGCTGGTTGGTTTCCATTTAAATCTTTCACACCCTCTCTTCAGAAACTGCAGGTTTTGTAGCATGCAATCTTGTATGTGTGAATTCGGCTCTCTTTTCTCTTTTAATGTCTATTTTATGAATTTTCATTTGGATAGATGTGAAAGTCCATTGCTGAGCAGTAATTAACATGATATATTTAATTCAGACTTAACCCACTGTCTTGCATTTGAATTTATATTCAAATGTTTGAATGTGAATTGTGCTGTTCAGTTGGGTACAATGAAAGGAAGTATTTATGTGGATATTTTGTAGTTAGAATTAATCAAAAGGAAAAAAAAATAAGAAAGCCTTGAAATTCTTTCCCTGAGAGCTCCTGAAAATACAAGTACTTTGTAGGGTACGTGCAAACTTTGTGGCAATTTCTCAGGGATGGACTAGACTTGGAATGAAAATCAGATCAAATCCAAATCCAAAAGTCTACACAACAGTGTTCCTTCCCATACTCTAAGAACATGCATCAATCTTGATTGGCAACTATTTCTAAATGATTTAAGAGCCCTGATAGGTGAGGTTTATTTGTCCTGGGTAAGGTTCATATTCACACAGCAAACATTAGGGAACTCACTTAGGTAGGCAGATCACAGAGATAAAGCAGGTGAGACAGGTGCTCTGGAAGCATTCACTTCTAGAACAAAAGACAGACCCACCTACCCAATACACTAGTGCAGTGGTAAATAGGACTAACCTTGCCAGGACATGTCACAACAAAGTATGTGCACTGAACCTTAAAGAATAAATAGGAAAAAAATCTAAAATAAATAGAAACTAACCGGGCAAAGCCACAGTAGTCCAACTTCTAGTTTGTCTTCTTCCTCACCTGTCACGCCTCGTCCCCCTCCCACTCTCTGCTCCTGCCCCGGGAGGGCTCCATTGCCGGCAGCTCCGTCACCGTCTCCGGCTTGCTTGCCCACTTTCCAAACCCTCTGCTGCCTCCCAGCCCCCAGTAGTAATAAATACTCCATCCCTTCCTTCCCCTAGCAGGTGAGTTTTGACTGAATATAAGATCAGCCATAAGCACCAAAGTATTAGTGGATTTCAACACCTTGTATTTTTGTGCATTGTGTGTATTTTCTTAATTCAAGGAAAGATTTTGCTATTGCAAAGAGCACGTTGTCATTCAGAAAACTTTACTTCCTCCTCACTTTATAAGCTGAGATCCTTTCTCTAAAATAGAAGCTGGTGATCGCTATCGACTGCGTGGATGTGAATTATTCACCAAAGTTCAGCATATGTCTGACTCACTTAAATTCATTTAGGACAAATAACCCACATAAAATGTTAAAGTCAAAATCAGAGCTGACCCATTCAAAACATAAAACATCAGAACTTTCCTGAGGCCGTGTGTCCCCCCGTTAGGCTGCCTGATGTCCACTCAGAATCTCCCTGATTCTGTGCTCTGTAGTTATCGTGTCTTTTCCTGCAGAACCACTGAGAATCTCCCTAATTACTGTGCTCTGTAGGTATCATGTCTATGCCTGCAAAACGCATCAGCTTGTTTCATTTTATTTAAATCTAATAATGGAAAGGTGTCAATGCAGTATGTAGCATTGAAGACTCTTCTAAATAACTTCTCCAGTCTCTCAGATTTGTCAGAAGCAAACCCTGGACTTGATGGCACAGTGTCGGCAGTGGCCCTGGGCGCTTTCTCCCACATGGCTGCCTAGGCCTTTGTGCTTTCTGTGTCCCAGATGGGGTTGATAAAGCGGCTTCTACACAGGGCGTTCTTTCAACCCCTGGAACAAGTTTCAATATTTGTGTTAAATATTAGAAAGTTTCTCCCTGTCCACCCCAAAATTCCACTTGCATGCCCCTCAGGTCATTTTCTCGGAGCTTGTTCAAGGCATAGGAATGATCCGCACAGGTTGGGACCTTGAAGGGATGTTGGACTATCTTAAGGTGCCATCAAGTTACTTGAATGGAACTCCACCTCCAAGGACTGTCCTGTTCTTGCCTGATGAATAGGATACTTCCAACATAGAAATCTGAAGCAACTAGCTTCATCTTGAAGAATCCCGTAATTTGGGTAAAACATTTTATTCAGGGAAACTATTAATTTATATAGTAGTATTCCCCAGAAATGTTGTATAGACTCTTGGTCTCAGAATTATACCGCTGAATTTATCATGTCTGCTATGACGTGAATCCTAAACACATATGCATCATGTAAATACCAAACTAACCAAAGAGGCCAAGCCAGAGTTCACTTCCACTGGAATATTTTATTACATAAAATAGAGGTGGATATCTCTGCAAATTCTTGGTTTTGAGTTTTTCCCACCAGGCTTTAAAAATTAGAACTCGAATTACAAAGACCTTCAAACCTCCTATGGTCTTGCTATCGATTAAAATTAAGGAGATTTATTTTTGCCCGCGTGTAGACTCAAAAGTCCTAATTTGGTTCCAAGCGAAAGTTTTGTCAATTAACTAGACCATCTTTATTCCCTTCTGATCATTCCTCATTCTCCCTCCCCCACAAGTGCATGCCCTTAACCAGTTCTACTGTAAAAGGTATTTTGTGTGAATTTACGATGAATTGAGATGAGATGAAATGAAGCTGTGAGACTCTCTCCCTCCCCTCCCGCCCGTTTTCTCTGATTACAGGGACTCTCCTGCTCCAGCCTCTGGCTTCCCAGTAGTGGCCTTGCTCCCAAACCCCTGTCTGCCCAGAATGGAAACCGGGTCTGTCCTCTTCACATCACTCCCCTCCTGCTCTTCCCTTCTGTGTATCACCTTAATTGCTGATGAAATGTATGTGGCTACTTCAGCCTCTTCTATATGAAATCCAGGCAGCAAAGCTCAGCAGGCGTTTCCATCGGCTTGAGTGGCTTGCTAAGACTTTTCTCAACCTTTTAAAACATCATCAACAATAATTTATGCCCTTATATAGTAAAAAGAAATTTATGAAAAGGGGGGGCTCTATTAAATGTATATTTTCAAAAGCTCAAGTCCAAAAAATTGGTCTCTTGGGTCTCTCCTCCTTTTCCAGCAATTGTTCCCAATTTGGGGTTTCATTTGTTTTTTTAAAAAAACATTTTTCTCTTCTAACTGTGTCCAGGAAGCAATTTGGAAGGTTTTTGTGCATAATCTGACTCCTCCGTCTTTGAGAAGCGGGGAGAGCGGTGTTGTTTCTTTGGCTCGCTCTCCCCTCTGTATCCTGTTTTTACAAGGTTGGCCTGAGGCGCTCTGCGTTTTAGCTGTCGGTATACGAGTCTTATTCTCATACGAGGAAATCGGTGTCAGAGCTCCAAGTCCAGATCATATTGTGGAGGTTGAATTGTCATCTCCTTGCTTGCGTTGCTGAGTGATTCATCCCTGGTCATGCACATTCCCCGACTGGCCCTCTGCTGTGGGCTTCCCATGGCCTCTCCTGTGAATGAGTCATGACACTGTTCTGGAGCTCAGTCTCTGGCCACACCAGAGAGCGGCCTTTATGTTCCAGCACATCCCCGCACAGGCACTGTCTCAGGCTGATTTTGGATGTGGATTCCTGCCTTGGCCAGCTGAAGCAGTCTTATGGCTTCGTTTGTATCCTGAAGACTGTCACGGGATCCTTTGATAGAAATAAACACGCTATTTGAGCTGCACTCCTCGTGTGTGGAAATGTATTAACACCCCCAAGTGCTGTATTAACCTGGGGTGCTGAGTGCTGGGTTTGGTTTCTCTTGTTGATGGTGTTTACCTTGTCACCATTCCGTCTCACTCCTCGACCCTTTCTTCCAGGAATGCCTGAAAACAAATGACTAGAAAATAATCATATTGCAAAGATGCTGGGGCAGTTTACTATTTTAAAGTTAAAAATCATCTCATATTAATCTTTCTTGTAAATCTGGATTTGCATCTATCAGATTTACTAGAAACAGTGCCTACCTTGAGTTTTTTTCTTCTAACTGTTGTACGATAATTTGGCTGTCGTGATAACTAAAATCAGGATTACCTTGTTACTGTTATCTGTTGCTGTTTTTTTCAAGGCTTTTAAAACCTGCCATTTGCTTTGTCCTCCAGCCCTCCTATCTGTACAGCGCTTCCCGGCCAGCAGGGAGTTACCGGGTGGGTGCGTGTGCCCCCCGCCCCATGCCCTCTCCTGTCTCCTGTTCCTCTTCTACCCACTCCCTCACCATCCCCGCCCCGCCCGTGTGCCCCCTCCACCGCGCATGCGCACACCTCCCACTGCGCACCTGCTCTGGGAGCGTGGACGTGCCTATTTGCAACCCTGCTGGGAGAGAATTACCTCTTCACGTGGAGCTTACACGCGCCATGATGTCTGTCACCCTTTGGCCAGATCTGGGTTTTATTTATCCTGACAGCTGACAAGAGCTGAGCAAGACACGTATTTGTATAGGATCGTTAGGCAGGAATGGAGCCAAGGCAACATATACTTAATCTATCCAGAAAGAAAGATAGCTTTTTATTGCTTTGGTAACCTTCACAGGTATTAATCCAGTGTACTGTATTACTTTGGAAATTTCCGGTTTGAAATACAAGGCACTTGTGCTGTCCTGGAAGCTCAGATATTCAAAGCAGCTGTGCTGCATTGTCAAATGCGTTTCTGAACTTCCATCGATGGCGCACTTATGAAACACATGTGCACCTGGCTGAGCAAACCAGCTGCATCCTCCAGGGGAAACAGGGAAAATTAAAGTTCCTTAAAGCTGGGCAAAGTCTGATCGCCATTCGCAGGGTTGTAAACTCTTGTTGACTGTCAGTGATTAATTACGTAGAGTATTCAAGTTAATCAAATAATAGCAATTTTTAAAGAATTATAAAATATTGAACTATCATTAACATACTATGTTCCAAAGTCACTTCACATTAGAGTAACTTTCTACACATCAAGTATGAGGATGCTATGACAAAATTCAGGATATTTGAAGTATCTGTTTGTTTTAAGTCTGGGTTGACAAGTTTTTACTTGGCAGGGAATCTTTTTCAGAGTCACAGATTTAAAGGATCTGTTGGAGATTACATTGCATGCCGAGTGACAGCAACCGAAACTTCTCTCTCTCCGATTTTTGCACGCCCCTGTTCCGCTCCACAGTACTTGGCCTGTGGAGGGGTTGGAGCCTTCCCTGCATGTCTTCCATCCGAGTGTTTCTCAGGACTTGTTCCTGGCATGTATCAGCCTTCCTTAGCTTACGTTTTAGTGTCTGCCGGGTGCTGGTGGAGAGAGGAAGGGCGCCCTGTCCTGACCGTCTGTTTCTGTCACAGGCGTCGGTACTGGATGAGAGCAGCCTTGGCGGGGCTCGGCGGGGCAGTGCCTGCAGCTCCTGTGCTGTAAGGCGCTTTCTGAGTTTCCTCCCGTCTGCTGCATGACCCTGGGGATGCTCGCTGGGCACAGTTCCAGCCCTGGGAGATAACTGACCCGAGTTGTAGGGAGGAAACATTGTCTCATCTCAATTTTCCATTGTAATAAGGGTCACAGATCATGTGAATCGTGAAGCCTGGGTTGTTAGTTTAGTGTCCTCACTCATCAATTTACACAGAGGTCAAAGGGAGTGACTAACCTTCATTGACTTTCATCAGCTCTTTCCCTGCTATACGCTGACAATACTAACAAGTAGTAAGGTGGTGTTAAAATAATAAAGAGAGGAAGAAGGGAATTCGACAGGCCACAAATTATTTTCACCTCTGAATAATCGAGGAAGATGAACAAATTTAAAGACTCAGAATATCACACATCATTTCCTTTTTTTATTTTGTTGTCTTTCCATCTCTTCAAAGGATTTGAAATGGTAGACTGTTCTGTCACAATAAAGGTATAGTAGTTGTACAAGAAATACTTGTTGAATGAAAAAATGAGTGAATGAATGATAAAGGTAAACAAAATAGAAAAATGGACCAGTCCATGGAAGTGGGGAAGCTAATTGCCTGTCCTGAGGACCAGTTGAAACTGCACGTCAACCTAATCAGCACTCACCAGTGTAGACGCTTCTGTGTCCTGAGTCTCCTCCACCATCCTGTAAAGATGCATCCAAGCCCCAGGTGAAATATGGTGGTTTACCAAGAAGTACTTGGAAGTGCTTTTATAATTTTACTTTTGAAAATAATTGACTACTTAATTGGGTAAATAATAACCAATTTTATGACATTTCTCCAATCATCATGAATATTCAGGAATTCTTACAGAGGTAGCCAGTGTACAGTTGTCTTTAGAATGTAATTTTTATGAATATGAAATCTAATAATTAACTGACATAGCATTAGTTTTTGTTGACATCTAATCAAACATTTATTAATTTTATTTTGCATAATGACCCCTATATTAAGTATTTTTCTCTGTTCTTAAACATTTTTGTAGGCCATTAAAAAACTCATAAACCATGCCTAATGGATGAAATAGCTCTGGTCTATGTATGACAGATGAAATGCAACTAAATGATTTTCTTTTATCAGAAAAGAGACAGCATACTAATTGCTAGAGAGAATGAGACTTTTCCCAAGTGCTAGGTAGTTTTCTGGTGACCAAAGTAGAACTTGTAATGTCTGGCACGAGGTATGTCTCCTAGATTCTCTTTAAATACCATACATGGACTTTTCTGGAGAGGCTGATTCTTGGCCTCCTGAATGCAGTTACTGGCATTGCCGATTACTTCTTTGTGTAGCAGTCGTTCCTGTGCTTTCAGCCTCCTGTAGGAATCACCTGGGAGGATGGCTTTAGCGGAGTTAAGAACGTGGAAGGTCTTCTTGTCCTGTGAGCACAATGCCTAAAATAGGGCCTCATGTCCCTGGTATCAAGCCATGTGGAAGAAATAAAAGAGAAGAAAAAGAAATTTTTTCTGCACCTAACAGTGCACTCCCACGAAGAAGGAGCTCAGTGTGCGTTTGTTGAATTAAATTGGACAAATTGAACCCTGGGGTAACATCACTGGGGTAGAGATATCTGGGTGGCAGCCCTGCTGTGACAGCCAGTCGGCAGGCTGAGTGGGCGGGAAGGTTCACTGAGTTCCCTCCTCTCCTTGTCTCCCTGCTAGCGTCCCCCACAGCCTCACAGTTGCTCTCCAGGTAGATACCGAGTTCCCCACACTCAGGAAAGCGGCTTGGGGAGAGCTGCCCTGGGCTCTCCGTTCAGCCAGTAGTCGTGACAAACACACAGCTGTTATGAGGAGGCTGCAGCTCAGGGGCCCATCCTGCCCTCTGCCTGGACTGCTGCAACCTCAGAGTCCAGGCTGACCCTCAGCCTGCACGGTACAGTCCTGATCCCACTTGGGAAGACTTGTCTCCATCTCCATTTTCCCAAGAAGTTAGCCTCAGACACAATGTGTGTTTACAATTAAATGACTTAATTACAATTAAATGAGATTAAATGACTAGTTTTTTAAGTATAACTGTTTTGCTTGAAAACCTTTCCATTTTATACCTTCCTTACCATTATTAAGCTGTGTGCCTGTTGTAGGAAGGACTCGTGGCTGTGTGTGAAGTGACCTTCTCAGTTGTTTTGACACTCCAGGAAGTGGTCATCACCACCAATGCTATCTGATCCAGGAGCCATGAAAGTTGTTTCTAGCAGAAAGTGAAAGCGAGGGGGAAAGCCCAACATGTGTTCTCTTGCATAACCCTGAGCTCCTCTGTGTGGTCAGTGTCCTTCCTTCCGTGTCACAGATGGCAGGCTAAGTAGCTTTTCCAGGGTCTTGTGGCCAAGAAGAGGTGAAGCCCAGACTCCACCTCAGATCATTCTACCTTACGTCAGCGCCACACAGCCACACAGACTCCCAAACACAAGCAGCTCCAGAGGTGGCACGTGGACCATTATGATCCAGACTTGAAACCTTCTTTTCTGTGTGACCAAGTGAGGTCAGATGATTTGAGAGCAGTTTCTGACTAGGGAGCTGGGGGAACTTGGGTCAGCAATAAGCTCTATTAACAACCATCCACCATGTCTCTGCACCATAAACCAGGATGTGAAAGAAACACAATACAGTCGGATTTGTTTACAAGATGAAGTTTTCCTGTCTTGCATCAGTAAACCCAAGCGAGAAATTCTTTTGTCTTAAAGTGCTGACATTAAGTGTTTTCCTTTATTTTGAACAACAAAGCTAAAAGGTGAAGCTAGTGGTACTGGTAGATGTCTTGTATATGTCGTATGTGGCAGCGTCTTACATATGGTGTATGTACAGCCATGTTATCTGTGCATCTGAAATGTCTTGCACCTAAGTGTAAGTATACAATATTTATTGAATAGAGGAATGAGTATAGGTAGGATGTGTCTGGGGAATTAACCCATCTTGACCAAGGCTATTGATAGTCCAAAGTTGCAGTTGGTCATTCAACAAGTATTTCTTGAGTGCACACTGTGTGCCAGGCCCCATCTGATCACTGGGGGTTTCAGCAGGGGACAAAATAGACACAGACCCTGCCCCCAGGGGAATTACAATCTGCTGAAAAAACAGGCAAACTAAGAGGTGGTATTTAAGATGAGAATCCCAAACATCCCTGAAGTTCTGTGCCTCCTATAATTTGCAGTGGGGATGATGCCTGCAGGTCTCCCAGTGGGGCTGTGAGAGCAGCAGACAGAACAGAGCCTGGCATGGTGTGGGGTGTTGGGAGGGGCTTACTGTAGGGCTGCTCAGAGGATGCTCCTCAGGCCATGGTGCAAAATGCTCGATGCCTGTGATCCTAAACAGTGTTCACAACCTGCCTCCCCATCCATCCTCCCCCATCTTGCCTTGCTCAAGAGGAAAGTAAGAATTTTTTTAACAAAACGTGAAAAGGTATCTAAGGCTAGAACAAATGTGACTACAAATCATAGTGAAGAGGGCGTAGCTACCAGATAAATTAGTTGCTGGTGTTTTCCTTTATCAAAAGAGAGAAAGTTTAGAAGATGGATAGACAGACAGATACATACATACAGGCAACCAGGTAGAAGGTAACGTGGTACTTGAAGGAAGCCGTGCCTGATTTTGTATGGACTCTAAATCTTATGTGGTTTTCACTTGGAGAGAGAGTAGAGAAGCAAACTTGTTCATTACCCAAAAGCTGAGCACCCTGTCCCATCTTCAGTTTCTGTGCTGGAAGGCAGCTCACGTTCTCAGAAACAGTCATTTGCACGTTGATGCGTGGTTTTCTGTGCATGAACTAGGCGTGACTTCACACCCCAGTTGAACGGATGCTTTGTGTTACTTTCTTCTTACTAACCAAGAATGCTGTGTTCCTTTGATATTATGATTAATTTTTTTATTCTTAGTGGTCATTTATTTGAAGCTGTGAAAGACACAGCCTTTCCTTCCGAGGGAAGTCTGCTCTCCATGCTAACCTCTGTTTCTTCCTGCATCGCGTGTGGCTAACCTCCACCACTAACTGGGTTACTTGCTGGGTGGCCTCCGTTCTCCTTGCCTCTCTGCTGACCCTGTTCCTTTGTTTCTGCCTGCGTGTCCTGGCGGCGGGCTGTGTGGGCAGCCCTCGGAGCACAGTGGCCACCTCAACTCCAGCTCCCGCGCCTCCTCCAGAGCCAGCTCGGCTCGGGCCAGCCCAGTGGTGAGTGTGTCTCCTGCTCTTGCTCGTTCCACTTCATTGCTTCCTCCTCCTCCTCTTAGACGCTTTACGTCTCTGTCCTGTAAAAGGAACCCTCCACCTCCAAAAGCCTCAGCAGAGGAGGAAGTAGGAAGGCTTTTCCATGATTTATTTCACCTCTGAATAAAACTAGAATTGGGAAAAATGCTTCCAAATTTAGCATATTACTATTCAGTGATATCAGAATTGCATTGCTAAATATTTAAAGGACCGTGTAAGAAATTGTTCACAGTGCTTGGAGATGGGGGTCTTCCTGGAGGAGGAAAACTTTGTAGTGGGGGGAAAATGTAGCCATGTGCATTGATGTATTTTTTTATGATTTAAAAATGTGAAGGATTGACTTTTAACATTTTGTTTGTAGTATTACCTGTTGTTGGACCCAGACATTTTTAAAAATAAAGTGAGGGCATTTATGTGCCATGGCATTCCCAGTTCTGCTCCTTCCGCACTATCCCATTGGTTCTCAAATTGTTCAGTGTATGTGAAACTACAGAACTGCACTCCTGTTTCTCACTCAGCATGAAATGACTCAAGTTTTGCTTCAGAAAATAAGGGGCCCTGGTACCAGTCCCCATCCTTCAAGTATCACTATTAGGTATTTTTCCCAGGGTCTTTGGAATTGTAGACAGTTTCACCTCATCTGATATTTTATATGAGGCTACTATACATTCTTTTAACAAGGGTTTGGCAGGGCAGTTCTGCCTGGGGGACATTTGGGAATGGGAGGGCTGGCGCAATGACCAGGGAAGGGGGCGTTCAGTGGGCAGGAGCCGGGTGCTGCGTGCTGTGCGGTATGCACGCCAGCCCTGGACAACCGAGGACTGCCACACCCAAGGCCAGCGGTGCCCTCCTCCATAAAGCCTGGGTCGAAGAAAGCAAAGATGGGCAAAGCCGATCTCTTTTCTCCGCTCCGCAGTGATAGAGAAGCTTGAATGTGGTTCCTAGTTACACATCACCACAGCTGGACATGTTGATGCCTAAAATTTAGGAAGTGTTCCTGGTAATCAGAGAAGAGCCTGTGGAGCTGAGATCTCTGCCTGCACAGGTGCACCTAGTTGGGTGCTGGTGATTATTTGTTTTGTAAATTAGATACAGTCTTTTAAAGCCGTAAGGTTTCATACCAAATGCAGATATGGGCTTCTTCCGGGGAAGAGAGGGATCCCTGGAAATGAGCCATATGGCTGGGGCGGGCGACCTCCGTCCTCCCACACCCTGCTCTCCTTGACTCTGAGGCCAAGGCCAGAGCCATTCACCACTGGGCTTGCACTGGTGTTTTCCTGATAGTAGAGAAATGTTCCTCTCCACCATGTCTTCATTTCTCCACCATTTCTTATCGAGAGTGAGAAAACAAAAGATAGATCAAAAGGGCGGGTATTAGAACAGGAGAACCTGTTTCTGGGTGGAAATGAAGACTGCCCTCCTCTGTGTAAGGCACAGACACCGCCTCCTACACATTCGGTGTGCCCACCCGCCCTCACAGCCATTTGAGCCCCTGCCCCTAATCCCGGAGACCAGCAGTGAGGAGAGTAGGAGAAGCCAGGTCCTGCACAGGCTCCAGTGTGCGCAGGAAACGTATGGAGGAGGACACCCCGAAAACCCCAGTTGCCTATCGCTCCACCCAGGACTGGTCAAGCAGGAACAGTAAGATACTCCACTGTTCAATATCACGTAACTTTAGTTTTTAAAATCTGTCAAGTTGCTTCTTATGGATGTTACATAAATGACCGAAGGGCATTGTTTGTGAACTAAGGAATTGCTGCTCACTGAGCTGAGCAAACCTGGCCGGCCCACATGGGCGTGCCTTCCATTAAGTTCGATCCCTTTGTGAGGATTTCATACTCTGTGGTAGCACGGTATATGTAAACCAATCTACGTGAAACCTTACAACTACTAGGAATAAAAACTTTCCAGGATAAATTTAATGTAGGGTCACTCTTCCTTATGCGTAATACTCTCTCACGCTCACTTTTTGGAAAAAATAAAAGTGTTCACAATTGACAGAAGAAGGCTCCGGCTTTACTTTCTGAGAATCCTAAGCCCCTGGAGTAACTCTGCCTGGTGCGGCCCCATGTCCCATGCCAAGTGAAGCATGGAATTTAAATCCCGTGATTGTTTGACATCTGTGGTTTATTCAAGCATCATGATGAAATTACAAAACAACAGAGCTCAGTCTAGTCACTTAGACTGAAGAGATTGAGATCAGATACAGATTTCCTTGTCATATGCTTGCTGAATGTGTGAAAAATTAATCCACATAAAACGAGTTTAGTAGATGATCGTAAACAGGTGAGCATTAACCGTGCCCGGTGTCCCTGGGGACTGATGACGAAAGGCGGAAGGTCTGTTTGTAACTGGGAGGCCCGGTGAGGTCTGGGCCCTTTGTCCCCGGGAGCTGGGGCGGGGGCCGTCGCTTTTCCTCCAGGTGCCATCATGGGAAAGAAGCAATGGGCGGCAGAGCTCCAGGGCCCTTGCAATGCTAAATAAAGCTTTCTTTCTCTTTAATTCTCTGAGTTTATAGCTGAGGAGACTTATACGTTACGTATTATTTCACACTGAGTTCCGAATGGAAGGTGGGCATAGAGCTCTGAGGATACAAGGCTGTCAGGTACTTGATTGAGCCGGTTTTTCAGTTCATTGCAAACAGATAATCAGTTTGATCTCTTTTCTTCCCTGAGTCAACTGCTCAATTACAAAGGTCAATTGATTGTGCTGTTGGCATATTAAGTGAGCGAAGGTCAGCATCCCGGAGGACTGTGGAACGGGCTGTCCCCCCGCCCCTTCCGGTCACCTCACCGAGTTGGGGACCTCAAAGCTGAGGACTCCTCCGTGTGCGGTCCTTAGAACCGCAGAGACATCTCCAGAAAGTGCGGCGCAGTTCCCCAGGGTCGCGGTCACAGCAGCTCTTGATCCTCTCAAGGGCAGAGCACCAGCAGCATCTCTGGTATCTGCAGAGTCTGGAAGACAGGACCGAGCTGGCCCTCTCTTCTGTAATTTCCAAAACTCATGGTTTCCTACACGGAGTCTGCACCATTTCCGTTTTCTGAGGAGCAGAAAATAGAGGGAGGGAGGGAGCAGTAGGCCGGGGCAGTGGGGCAAGTGACCTTCCCAGCCTGGCCTCTCCAAGGGACACGCAGCAGGAAGGGAGTAGGGAGTTAGAAGACGTGGGTTAAAATGTCACAGCTCTCATTGCTGGCTGGGGACATCTGGCCAGGCATGTAGACTTCTTGAGCTCCACTGGAAAGATGGAGTAATGACACCCTTAAAAACCAAAATCAACAAAAAGGTCAGGCATTATTAACTTGTGTCTCCTCGCCAAGGCCGAGTTTTCCAGGGATGTGAGGTGTTGCTGCAGTCCACGGTGGCTCGTGGGACGGGCCCCCTGGCCTGGTGCTTCATCAGGAATATGGATCCAGGAGCAGTATGAGTGAGGCTGGGGCAGGGGCCTTTCTGGGAAGGAAACAGGAGGTCGGGGCAGGGGCAGCCATGGAAGGCTCTGGATGTGGAAGGAAGGCTGGTGCCCCAGGGAGTGTGGGGAGGAGAGGAGACTATTAAAGAGCAAAAGTAACCAGAATAAAGGAAATGATAGCTTGTCCCACTTTAAGAAAATAAAGGTCCCTCAGTGTCCCAAGATGTAAAGTGTGCCCCACCCCCGGTCCTCCCAGCATCGTGGGAAAGGGGAGAGGATGCTGCCCCATCTCAGAAGGACAAGTGCCGTTCCACCTCATTCTCACTTTTCCCATTCTATAGATGAGCCGTATTTTCTTCTCCAACATGTCCAAGATCTTCCCCTTAAGGAAGTTATGGCTGGTTCATTCAGCCAGTGTTTACTGAGCGCCTAGAATGTTCTAGGCACAAGGCTATAGTGGTGAGCAAACAGATCAGTTCCTGCTCTCATAGACGCACAGACTGGGGGACACAGACCCTCAGCAAACGAGCACATACGCAAAATAAAACTCAGCAGCATGGGCTCCAAGGGGGAGATGCAGGAAGCTTCGAGAGAGTTGGAATCTGGAGGTTTGATAATCCAGGCCTGAAGCACACCCAAGCAGAGGGCCCCACCTCAGAACCCAGCTGGGAATGTGAGTAAAGCTCCCTCGTTCTGAAACATCCATCAGGAATGTCCTGAGTGGAGCCCAGGTTCACGTTCCCTGTGTGTATTCAGAGAAACATGAGCAATGAACTGGAATTTCTGGCCCATTTGAGCTAGAAAAACAAAAGACTAGAATGACTTGTGCTTTATGGGGTATGAAGAGGGCCCAGGTGAAAAACGGGTCTTGAATTATGAATACAAGAGTTCAAGGACAAGTCACTCAGGATAACATCAGTATTACTGGATTTAAAAACAAAACTTTCCACTCTAATGGTAGACTCCACTGCTGATTATATTCAGAGGAAAATTACCCTTAAATGGGTGTTTTCTGAGCAATGTTTGCTGTTGTCAGTTTGTTTCTTGGGAGGGACCGTGCAATGACATTGCCCCTGGGGTCCCTTTTCCCATCTGGGGTCTGGGGTTGCCTGGCTGCGGGTTGGGGACACCGTGAGGAAAATGTTCCTTTGTACCTGGTCCCTCTGCTGTGGTCTCTCGGTGCCCACATGCTGTATTCTGTCCCTAGGAAGGTGGGGAAGCTAGGTGGTGATATGGAAAACCTGGAATTTTAAACTTCACCAGATGTCTAAGTGGGCCTACACAGCAAACTCATTCAGACACGGTGTTAGAATGTTGGAATTAGTAAAATATTTAATGTACTACTTGAAGCCTCTGTTTTTGAGAGGAAGAGTTGCCATAATTTAAAATTTCACAGAAACTTTTTAGATGTAACTATTTCCAGTCGATTTAAAGAGATGTCTTTGTATACACTCCATTGTGACTGTGGAGTACTGGTATACATATTTCATAAACATGTTAGTTAGCATGCAGTTTTCACACTGACCTAAAATGTTTAGTGTTGCTCAGAAACTAAGAATAATAAAGCTAATAGGGGCCGGCCCCGTGGCTTAGCGGTTAAGTGCGCGCGCTCCGCTACTGGCGGCCCGGGTTCAGATCCCGGGTGCGCACCGACACACCGCTTCTCGGGCCATGCTGAGGTCGCGTCCCACATACAGCAACTAGAAGGATGTGCATCTATGACATACAACTATCTACTGGGGCTTTGGGGGAAAAAAAGGAGGAGGATTGGCAATAGATGTTAGCTCAGAGCTGGTCTTCCTCAGCAAAAAGAGGAGGATTAGCATGGATGTTAGCTCAAGGCTGATCTTCCTCACAAAAAAAAAAAAGCTAATAGGCCACAAGATATGTGGCGCTGTCGCCCTTTCATGGATAAGGAGACCGGTGTTCACAGAGGTCCCATGGCTTGTCCCAGGTCCCATGCTGGTGTGGGCTATAGTGTCTTGGAGCATCCCATGGCTCCCCACTCCACATCATGCAGCAGCCACAACAGTGTTTAAAAATCCTTTCATCTACTCAGTTTCTTTGTATCTTATTTTCGGAGATAAAGTGCTGTGCTTTATATCAAAATTAAACTGTCTGGTTTACTTATCTGTTCCTTTGTTTAGGGGACGGTGAGGGGTGCTTTATTAAAAGTGGGTGCACTGCCTGGCAGTGGTTCCCTGGGCCTGCCCCACTCAGCTCGACGCAGCTGCCATCTAGTGGGAGCCAGGGGAACTACAACAGCTTCCTGCTGCTGCGTCGCTTCCATGGGGCTCCAGGTACTCCTGTTTCAGGAAGGCTAGCAAATACAGGTGTCCCTTGTGCGTCAGAAAACTGACAAACCAGCATTTACTCTGATATGGAAAATAGAGATTGGGAACAATAGCATCAATTGGCTATAACTTTCATTGAGAGTTTAATTTTTCCCTGCATGTTCTCTACTTAAAAACATATCCTAGGGCCGGCCCTGTGGCTTGGTGGTTAAGTGCG